GGGGGGGGGGGGGGGGGGGGGGGGGGGGGGGGGGGGGGGGGGGGGGGGGGGGGGGGGGGGGGGGGGGGGGGGGGTGGTTAACCTGGTATGACAGGGGCAAAAAGTTATCATGTGTCTACTGCTATTCAGAACCAGAAAGCAGTCCTTTTAACTCCTAGCCTGGAGACCTATTTTTCAAAGGTTAAGTGGAGAGGTTGGGGAGATAAGGAAGAAGTGTGCAGGTATTATTAACCCACTTGACAGGACAATATATTGATGTAGAAAAGTTTCAGCATTTTGAATTTGCAAGCTGGCACGCCCTCCAGACCTGGCTACTTAGCTGCATCACTTGGAATCTAAACACTTACAGATCTTCTTTCCATCTATCTTATCTACATGAATCTTAATGTCCTTATAATTTTGGGTGGTTCTGGTTTCACATTTTTGATGCTCTGTATCTGGGTTCTTTTTCCAGGAGTTTCTGGAATTAGGCGCCAACATAACGCCTAACAACCAAAGTCAATGTTTATGTTATAAATATCCTTCCTCCTTTAATTATAACCTATTGTCCTGGTAAATTTTGGATAATTGAACTTCAGCATGGCTGAGCTACTGTGAGAGGATGTTGCAGGCTTTGTGTTCACGACAAGAAAAAATTCAGAGCCCCACAAATGAAATCCTAACTGCCTTAGCTCTGCAAAGGAAGCCTGGAAGATGGGCCAAACATTTATCCAGATCCAAAACTGGAGACACAAATCTGGCACAGTGCTAGGATTGAATGATGTAACACATAAAAATACAAGATGCTGGGTAAATTTAAATTCAGAGAAATGAGGACAAATATTAGTATATCTCTTGTAATATTGCAGATACACTTGCATTAAATAAATTACTTTTTTATTTATTTAGAATTCAAATTTAGCTGGATATTCTGTAGTTTCTCTGGCATTCCCAGTTGGATCCAAAGCTTGAACATTGGTGTGAATTTAGAAGAAATTATAAAAGAATGGTAAATTATAGAAGATGGGTGGGCCCAGCCCAAATATTTCATGTTGGAATGTCCGTGGCTATCTTGAATATGAAAATAACCAACACTGATTGAGTAATTCTAGGCATGAGTCTCTAAGATAAGCACATTACATGCAGGCACTTGGCAGCTGACCACAACTCCATGAGATGGGAACTAACAGTGCCCCCATTTTACAGAATGGAAGACCGAGGTCTGGATAGCTTACAACCAATAAGTGGATTTTTACTAAAGCAAGAGCACTTTAGGGATCCAGAGGCCCAGACCTCTTGGTATGTCTTATAGATCACAGAGGCACAGAGACTGAAGTTCACTTGCCCCTGGTCCTGCAGTAGTCTTCGACAGAATCAGGGTTCTGATCCTGTCTGTGTGCATTACCAGTTCTCTCTTAATTCCTTCCAAATCCATACCAACTTTGATCCAACTCAAGTTCCATTCAGCCAGCTTTAGAGAAATTGAATTTCCTTAATAGGTTTTCCTAGACAAATCGCTTGAGAGCCAGGAAAACTCCAGAGAGAATCAGGGAGATGTTAGGAGTCTTCCATTCTACTTCTGGCTCTGCCACAAACAGGTTGTGCAGACTTGGGACAATTGCTTGCTCTCTCAGAGGCTCAGTGTAGGGTCTGGCAAACAAAGGGAGTCCTACCCAGGGACCCACAAAGTCCCTTCTGCAGTGGCAGGCTGCAATTCTAAGATGCCCAATCTCCCACAGGCTTCTGCACTGGAGCCCAGCCCTCTCACGCCCAGCATCTTAGGCTGATACAATAGACAGCAGACAAATCCCATTACAGACCACTCTACGAGTCTCCACTTTGTCACTGACTGTTATGTGACCTTAAATAGGCATTCTCTCCTAATCTCCCTGGGCCTGGCCTCTCCTATTAGCAGCTGGAGACAAGGATATTTACCTGTAATAAAGCTCTTTGAGCTCCTCAGATAAAGAGCTTTGCATTAACAAAGCTCAGATCGGATTTTTTTTTAAAATGGACCAGCACACTGCCTTTGTTTTGTGTTTTTATGTTTCTTTCCCTCTTACACTCTACAGAAGTGCAAAGTCGTGTTTGTCCTCCAAATTCTCTCCAGTTTAATTCATCTGTTTGCTTCTGGGTTTGAACAGGTCTTTTTTCCTAGACTCGATGTTCCCAAACTTTCTCAGTTCATAGTATCTTGGTAATTTTTCCATTATGCCCTTCACAATTGTGTTTATGAAGTCATTCACTTCAAAAAAGTTAGTATTTATGCCCTAACAAGTTAGTATCATTTGAAAAAAATAACACTCATGAATTTGAAGAAAAAAAGTATTATTTCATGCTTAAGTAAACCCAGTTACTTACTAATGGGATATGTATGCTTGTTGCACCCTACATGATTTCTCAAACCTTGGAATCAGATTGATCACTGTCAATTTCATTTTCCACATTGATTATTTGTGAGGTACCTGTTTGTTTGGTTTTGTCTTTTAACATGGTCAGTCTCAGAAACCCAGCTTCTCAAAGACATGGAATTGTTGAAATTAATATAGTGAGTGAGACAAGAAGGGGTAAGCTCATCCTCCACTCTATCACCAGGGACACCTACTTTTAAAAAATATTGCCAAAGAAAGTTCTTCACATACAAAAGAAATGACAACAGAAAGAAACCTGGAGAATCAGCAGTAAAGAAATAGCAGTAGAAATGGTAAAAATCTGGGTATATATAATAGATTATTCTCCTCTTAGTTTTCAAAACTGTGTTCAATGATTGAAACATGGTCTACTGTGGTCCTCAACGTACATATTGGTAATATTTACAAAAACTATATTATAAAGGGAAAAAGGTAAAGGGACATAACTGTTAAGATTTCTAGGTTGTGTTTACTGGAAGTCATAAACTGTTGATACTAGCAGACATATATATACATATATATATATATACACACATATATTATATAAATGCTGAATACATAATATATAATATATTCACTTAAAATATGAGTATGATATAACATTAATATATTTCATAAGTATACTATCAATATTATTAATATATAACATATTCTATGAATATTGAATATTACATATATAAAAATTCATAGAGCAAACACTAAAAATTAACACAAAGAGATACAAACAAATACTATAGATAAAGTAGAATACAAAAACATGTTCAAGTCTTGCAGGGAGATAAGAAACGAAAAACACAGGAGTCAAAGATGAAACTAAGCACTCAGTGAATATCATTTGAGTGAATGAATAAATGAATGATCCCAGGTTTTGGTTTATCAGGAGACTGCTTGCTCTTAAATAAGGAAGGTGTTTTATATGCTACATTATTAACCACACTCCTATAACATCTTCTATCTAAAAAGGTGCTTTTACCATCACTTACATTTCTATGTGGATATGATGCCAACTTCAGATGTATTCATCATCAACACATCTTCTGGATAAAAGAACTGAAACAAAAGAAGACATATAACGACAAGATTTTGAAACATCTAAGTGAGAGATTCTGGAACTTATTCTAGCAAGACATTTCATTTTAACATAAAATACAGCATATTTTAAATATTTACATCTAACGCATGAAAATATTTATACAAATAAGCAACATAAAACAATCATGCTATATACAAAATAACCAATCCTTATGTACAGCAAATGTTTAGAAAAGGCAGCCTTGTTTTAAGGTTATATGGAATTGTATGAGGTGTATCTATGTGCATCTACGTTGAACCTCATTTGAAGATAATGTCAAAAGCCCCAATTTGAGACCTCTGTTTTTCTAACTGAAGTATAATTACATCCAATAAAATGCACATATTTTAGGTTTGTAGTTTGATGAGTTCTGACAAATGTATACACACGTGTAACTAACATCCCAATCAAAACGTAGTCGTTACCGTTACCCTACAAAGTTTCTTCACAACTCTTTTCTGTCTGTCCCCTCACTCCCTGCTTCCAAAAAGCAACTACTATTCTGGTTTCTATCCCCAGAGACCAGTTTGCCTGATCTCGAACTTCATACAAAACTTCAGTACAAAAGTACTCTTTTGTGCTGAGTTCTTATATACTGTGCTCAACATATAATATAGCATAAATAGTGCATATATAGAAGGGCTTCCCTGGTGGCTCAGAAGAATCCACCTGCAACCCAGTTTCCATCCTTGGGTCAGGAAGAATGGAGAAGGGAATGGCTACCCACTTCAGTATTCTTGCCTGGGAAGTCTTATGGACAGGAGGAACCTAGTGGGCTAGAGTCTATGGGGTCGCAAAGAGTCAAACAGAACTGAGCTACTAAGCACAACTCTTTTGAGTCTTCCCTGGTGGGTCAAATGGTAAAGAATATGCCTGCAATGCAGGAGACCCAGGTTCAACTCCTGGTTCTAGAATGGTCCTTGGGTTGAGAAGATCTCCTGGAGAAGGGAATGGCAAACCACTCCAGTACTCTTGCGTGGAGAATCCCATAAACAGAGGAGCCTAGTGGGCTACAGTCCATAGGGTCACAAAGAGTTGGACACAACTGAAGTGACAGCACACACTCACTGTTTTCACGTTTATGAATTTCTGGGATATGAGTCAACATGGACTTAATTTAAAATAACATGAAATAAATTATAGGATAGATGGTGTACACATGATGGGTTGTTGTTTGGGAAATGTTAAATTCTGGTGTGGTAAAGAGTGCAGTTAAGAGTCACAGTTCCCTGGGTCCCTTGGTCTCGCCCATTCACTAGATGAATGGGTAGTAAACTAAAGCCTCAATTTTCTCATTTGTAAAATGGATATGATTTTACTAATCCTCAATGGATTGTGGTGTGAATAAAGCAATATTTTAAAAATTTAACTCAATGCTTGGCACAGACCAGTGACTCGATATGTGGCAGATCTTATTAGATTCATGATGGTTAAGAGGTTAATTATTAAAATTTTCTTTTTAGCCTTAGGGCTAGAACCATTTGTAGAATAACTACAGACAAATTTCTTGGCTACTTCTTCTTGCTTTCCTTTAGGATGAGCTCCTAGCACCTTCAATTGGAAAATTAGAGCAGCAGTGGTTGCTCCAGTACTTCTCAGGGGTATAGAAATTCCCATTTCCTCTATTATAGGCATTAGGTTCACACTCAAGCTGTGAATTAAGAAGATATTTGGGCATAATGTACTTTTCTAGTGTTTTACTGTGTAGGTCAAACTTCTCACTCTGGCTGGAAGCTGGAAATCCAGTCTCTATTCTCCTTTACATCAGAAGATTCTCTCTCAGCCTTTCTCTTGTGCACATGCTCACCCCTACTGTTTCAAATCCGAGTCTTGCCATTTGGAATAATGTCGAAGCCCGTCTCGATCTTAATTTTGCCCTCTGATCTCCCCCACTATGATGGTATGGACTGGGTCCGCATGCGAAGCTCATTGCTTCCTTCCTCTACTGAGCCTCATTTTAGGGTCCCAGAAGGAGTCACACCCTCATGTGGTACCCAGAACCTGTCTGGGGCTGTCTTTTTGGGCTCATCTCCTATCACTTTGCCCTTAGAATTTCAAACTCCATTTCACTCTTCATCAGTATTGAGCTACGCAGATTTCCTTTTACATTTTACTTCTTTGCTTTGTCTCCTTACATTTGCAGCTTCCTCTGCATAGGAGCCTTTCCTCCTTGTCTGCTTGGCAAAGTCCACTTCATCTATCACAACTCTTTTCAGGTGTAACTTCTCCAAAACTTCCGCCCCCCCCCCTCCTTCATTGCTGGCTGCTTCTGTTAATATTTCTATGGGTCCAGCTACTGCAGCATTTGGAGTGTCTGCCTCTCCATGGATATTAATAAAAACTAACATTGAGCAGTTACCAAGGATTAGGAACTGCTCTAACCACTTTATAATTTTGCCTTATTTATTCCTCACAATATTGATCTGGATTGAATTGCTATTACTATCACCCCCATTTCACAGATGAGAAAACTGTGTGAAGCCACTTCTCTAGGGCTCCATGACTGGATAAATATAATAAATACTGGACACCCACCCTTACAGATGGAATCAAGATGGTTGGAATGTTGGGAAGCCTTTCGACTTCTGTTTTCTTTCCCTTCTGCTGCTTTTATGGTATGATTGGAGGAAAGACAGCTGCATGTCTTGACAGACCATGTATGGATCCTAATTTAAATTTCACATTCAGTCTTCCAGGGTCCTGAGGTCAGAGGCTAAAATGAGAGTTATTGATCTCAGCTTTTCTAGCTATAAGCCAGTAGGATTGCTAGATTTAGCAAATAAAAAAATAGGATGCCCAATTAAATTTGAATTTTAGATAAGCAACAAATAGCTTTTTAGTATAAGTGCTTGTGTACATGCTAAGTAGCTTCAGTTGTGTCCAACTCTTTGCGGCCCTATGGACTATAACCCGCCAGGCTCCTCTGTCCATGTGTTTCTTCAAGCAAGAATACTGGAGTGGGTTACCATTCCCTCCTCCAGGGGATCTTCCTGACAAAGGGATCGAACTGGTGTCTCTTATGTCTCCTGCATTGGCAAGTGGGTTCTTTACCACTAGCACTACCTGGGAATCCCCTTTAGTATAGGTATGTCTCCAATATTGCATGAAACATACTAAAATTATTCATCCTTTGTCTGAAACACAAATTTAACTGGATGTGTTATAATTTATCTGGTACCCCTAAACTTGAGATAACATTACCTCCCTGGCTGGGGGGTCCCAGTAGTCACTAGAGGGAGGGAACCTAGTCTCATTCCGTACCTGCTTTTTGCCAAGTATCTGGCACTGAATTCTACATTCATGAATTTAATCCTCCTAATAACCTTGGGTGGGTGGGTTGGTAGCTATTAGTTGCTCTATTTTATAGATGTATTTTCTAAGTAAGAGTTATCATTTACTGGCTTCTTATAATATTAATAGGGCTTCCCTTGTAGCTCAGCTGGTAAAGAATCCGCCTGCAATATGGGAGACCTAGGTTTGATCCTTGGGTTGGGAAGACCCCCTGGAGGAAGGAAAGGCAACCCACTCCAGTATTCTGGCCTGGAGAATTCCATGGATCATATAGTCCATGGGGTCACAAAGAGTCGGACACGACTGAGTGACTTTCACTTTCACTTATATATCAATGAGACAGATTAAAATGGATACAAATTCTTTGACATTCCTTCCATTGAGAGGTGGGGGCTTATGTCTATTCCCCTTGAATCCAGAGAGAGTAGTGGTATGTTACTGCTTTGACCAGCAGATTATGGTTCAAAGGACACTTCCACTTTTCGTCTCTTGGAACATTCATTTTGGGGCAAACCAACTACCCTGGTAAGGAGTCCAGTGACTCTACACCACCATGTTGTGAGGAAGCCCAAGCCAAATGCTGAGGATCTGGAGGATGAGACGCCATATGGAGAAGGTGAAGTGCATGGGAGTATAAAAAGGCATCTTGAAAGTGGATCCCCAGCTAATTCCACGTGGATCATAGGTGAACCACTCAGCTGACTTTCCCAAATTCTTGCCTATAATATCATGTGCAAAATGAGGTGGCTGCTTTAAACCACTGAATTCTGGAGTTGTTCATCATGTACCAATAAACAACAGGACTGAACTCAAGATCACTGAATGAGTTCTGGACATACCATTTATTAGCTCCATGACCTTGGTCTCTATTTCCTTGTCTGTAACATGGGGATACTTTCCAGTCTGTAAAAGAAGCAGTAGAGGCTCTGAAAAGCTTAGTAACTTTCTGGACGTCACAGAGCTAGCAAGAAGATCTGGAAAAGTCCTCATGTACCCAACTTCAAAGCTTGGCTAATATGTCTCCATTTCTTCCCCCTTCACACTAGCTTTGAAATCTATGCCTCAGTTTCCCCATCTGTAAAACAGGGATGCTAATAATACCTTCTTTACAAAGTGTTTTAAAAAAAACCCAACATGTCAAGTGCTTAGCTTAGGGCCTGGCACATAGTAAGCAGCCAGTAAACATTCACAGCTATTATTATTTTATTATCTCCTCTGCCAAGGCTGACAGCAAACATCTATTCTGTGCCTGCCTGCTTCCTCCAGGTCTCTAACTTGTGGGAAGCCTCATCAGAGGGCATCTTTAACTGAACAATCCAGAGTGCTACCTCTTAATATTTAATGAATTCCTGAGACTCTCGGAAAGCAATGTGAGAAATATCCTGTAAAAATCTATTCATGTTAATAAAATACCACCCAACAGGTTGGCCATTACCAAGCAATTCAAATTTTCAAGCAGGTCAAATAACCCCTTGCAATGATTTGTGCGGCTCCCTTCCCCACCCACCTTTCTTCATTTTTGGGGAAGCGTGTATTATTTCCATGGTTAAGGTGCTGGACCTTGGGCTGTCCTCCCTCCCAATTCCAACCAGTGGTTTCAGACACTAACGAGGTGTTAGTGTTCCCTGCTCATCCATCACAGATGTGTGAACTTCGAGCTCCAAATAATAGCTGAGAAATTCAAATTTGGCTGCCAAAAAACAGACCTTTCCAAAAGGAACTCTCTTACCTTTTCTGGGCTTTTTTTTTTTTTTTAATATGTATTTATATGGCTGTGTTGAGTCTTAGTTGTGGCACGTAGGCTTAGTTGCCCTACGGCATTGGGATCTTAGCTCTGGACCAGGGATTGAACTTGCATCCCTTGCACTGGAAGGCTGATTCTTAACCACTGGACCACCAGGAAAGTCCCTTTCCTGGACTTCTTAAGGTTGACAGAGGCAGGACAGGAGGAAACAAAGTACTGTTCCCTGATGAGAGGGGAGAAGAAATTTCATGTTTTCCTTGGTGGTTAATACATGCCAGGACCCACAGTAGGTACCATCACAGTCATCCCTTATAGTATCTTCAGAATAAGACAGAATGGCTTTATGGACTCATTTGCCAAATGGAAAAATAGAGGTTCAGAGAAGTGAAGCTCCTTACCCTAAGGTCACACAGCTAAGCAAGGGTAATGTCAAAACTGGAACCTGGGTTTTTAAGATCCTGAAGCCTCCGACGGTCATTAACTAGAGGTGCTTTTCAGAATCTTCTGGGGAGCATTTTTGACATTTGCGTTTTCAAGCTTTTTCTCTCTCTCCTCTCTTTCTTCTTCTCCACCTCCCTGTTCCCCTCTCCTCTCCTCCTCCCTCTCCCATGTCACTTCCGGTCACTCTGCATGGATCGAAGTCCTGCTATGTGCCCACGCTACACACAGGCAAGGGCCTTTCGCCTTCCCTGCTGGCTCAGGCGGTAAAAAGTCCACCTGCAGTGCAGGAGACCTGGGGTCGATCCCTGGGCTGGGAAGATCCCCTGGAGAAGGGAAAGGCTACCTACTCCAGTATCCTGGCCTGGAGAATTCCATGGACAGAGGAGCCTGGCAGGCTCTAGTCCATGAGGTCGCAAAGAGTCAGACACGACTGACTGACTTTTACTTTCAAGATCCTTTGGTCAAAAACTACATAAGTCAATTTCAGCTAGCTAAGGAAAAATAAAAGACATTTGTTAGGATGACATGGAGGTATCTCAGGATGTCAGCATACTGGACAATAAAGATGCAGAAAGGAAGGGAAAAAGGCAGCTCTGGGGTCTGCACTGGGGGAGGTTCATGGACCTTTACCCCACCATGCTGCCACTGTCAATCCTTGCCTCTCACTAGTTATTAGTTTCCAGGAAAGACTCTTATTGGTGACTGTCCCTGGACCCGATGAGCAAGATCATGTGATGCATCACCTAGGGTACACCTGGAAGGAAGGCAAGATGTTTCTTCCAAGGAGAGAATCACCAAGAGGCTGGCATTCACTTCAAAAGGCGCCCACAGGCATATACCGGGCTGCTGGGATGGAAGTGAAAGTCTGCCTTCAGGTTCATGAGTATCTGGCATAAAGGCAGCCACAAGGTTGGGTCTTAAGCATCTGTGGTCACTCTTCATTCATTCGAGGAAAAGCATATGCAGTCTCCAAAATGCAAGCTCCTTCAAGTCCATGAATATGACTCTGACTCAAGACTGTGACTGCTGGGCCTGACTTAGAGCCTGGAGTATAACTGGTACTTGTATTAGTTAAAGCACGCTAGGTTCTTCTGGATTTATACCACTTAATTTATACCATTTAAGCATACCACTTAACATCTGTATCTTTTCTTTTTCTTTTTTACCCATGAATCATGTGGAATCTTAGTTCTCCAAGCAGGGATCAAACCCGTGCCCCCTGGACTGGGAACGTGGAGTCTTAACCTCTGGACCACAAGGGAAGTCCCTAACCTGTGTGTCTTAAATTAACAAATATTCATTTCTCACACATACTTCCTGTCCATGCAGTGACTCAGGGGTCCAAGTTGAAGGAAGTTCACCGTGTGGAGTTCTTTGGTTTCTGCAGCAGGACAAAATAAACTATATAGTATTATCTAGGGAGTTTCCTTGCAGTAACATATGTTACCTCTGTTAATATTTCTTTGGTCACAACTAATCACATGACTCTTCCTAATTGCAAAGAGGCTGGGAAGTATAGACACCTACAGGCACACCAGTGATAAGAGAAGTATCTGTCACAGTAATCAATTAGTATTTTCTCAATACCAATAAAAGGCTAAAAATAGCTGACATTTTTGAGCCTGTTCTATGCCCCACACTGAATTGGGCTGAATGCATGACTTATCAACTGTCTCCTTTAATTCTCACACCAACCCTAGGAGTTAGTGTGGCTATGGTTTCTATTTTACAGATGAACTGGAGACATAGAGAACTAGGTCAATTACCCAAGTTTACACAGACAGAAGTAGAGGAAAGAGGCTTCAAACCCAGGCCATCAGACCCCAGAGCCTGCTCTCAATAGCAAGTTACCCATTTTAATGACTAGGCAGGCACACTGGCTATTCACAATACTCGGAGGCAGAATGTTGCAAGTATGAAAGAGGCCAGGGAAGCAAGGGTCAAGAAAAATGGGGTTGGCTTTTCCCCGAGGAGAATGGTCATGGAATGAACTGGGTGAGTGGTGAGTCAAGGTCTTTGAGCCGGATCTTTGGTTCTTACAGGAAGAACTCACCAAGCAGATAAATGAGAGAAAGTAGATCTAGTGTGAGAATGTCGACTCCACCTGGTTAAGGATTTGCCATGTTCACTGCTGCATCCCCAGTGCCTAGACAGTGTCAGGCTAATACAGAGGTAGGACTCTGGCAATACAGAATCTGAACTTGGTACACGCTCATCAAACACTTGCTCTCGGTGAGCCATGAATGGAATGAAACAGAGCATAAGCTCTTCTGAACTGAAGGTTGCGACTCTCAGGGAGAGAAGGGGGAGCTTGAGCCATGGCTAAGCAGGGTGCAAGAAGCTGTCTTTCTAGAAGAGGTGTGGGGGCTTCCCTGGGGGTCCAGTGGTTAAGACTCCACACTCCCAATGCAGGGGGCCTGGGTTCTATCCCTGGTCAGGGAACTAGATCCCACATGCCTCAACTGAGAGTTTGCATGTTGCAACTAAAGATCCCACATGCCACTACTAAAAACATCGCGCATGCTGTGACTGGGGTCTGATGCAGCTAAACAAACAAACATAATTTTTAAAAAGCCTCTGGAAGAGGTGCAATTTACCAGAATGGCAATCTCAGATTCCTGGGCAGGTGTCTTTCTGAGCTCGAAGAAAGCAAGTCAGATAGGTCCCAGGGGCATCCTGCTCTGAAGGCGCAGGGTTTGGGAAGCACCCAGATGTTTCTGATCATGACTGAGCTGGGGATCTGCCCCGTCAGTGTCCTCCTGTTTGGGAGACAAGAACAGATGAACGGAATGCGGAGGATGGATGTGAGCAAATGTCATGCTTGCAAAGCAACTGCTGGAGGGTCACTGAGATGGGAGACTGGAACTTTATCTCAGTTAAAATCCCACTGAGTTTTTCCCAGATTAGAAAGGAGGCTTTCTTTTCTTTAGAGGCTTGTTTTGCTAACGTTTGCCTTCTCAGCTGGTGACATTCTATAATAATGGTAATAAAAAAGGGAGTGGTGGTGACTATCTCCTATTCTCTTTTTTAATAAAGGAATTTTTATGACTCATTTTAAAATATGATCTGGTCATTGGGTCACTGGACTTTGAGAGTCTTCCCAGGAAAATTAGCTGTTCTCATGTTGGTGTCTTGATACACAGTCCTCTTTTGGCAGGTCTCTTATGGGTAATGTAACAGATTAAAAAATGTGTTCAAAGCCCATGCATGCCATCTTCTGAGCCTGATTTCTCAAACTCAAACCTTTTGGACCTGTGGTCCTTGATGATCTGCTTTCAGCTGGGCCATACCCAACAGCCCATGAGCTGGACACTAAACTTTTGTTTAAGCTGTTCTTTTTTTTTTTTTTTCAATGTCCGAAAGCTTCCTCTCTCTATCTTTATATGTGTCACCTGGCAAAATCATTACCAATCTTCCATGTGTGACTCAGCTACCATCTCCTCTGAGCAGGTGCTTAACTAAAGGTGAGGTGACAGAATCAAGAACCTTGAAGCCAAGCTCCTTCTGTCACTCCACATCGCAGAAGAGTGAAAGAGAGAGAAAAGCAGAAATTTGACGGCGGTTTTCTCATGATGTCACCTAACAGCATGGAACCCCATGTGCCAGGCACTGTGGATGAGGTTAGTTGGCATGGAGTGACCAGAAAGCCTGGCGACTTGGGATATCTTGTACTCAATGTCCCAGGGCAGTTATTTATCATGCCACCTTTCCCTCTCAAAATTTTTCCGGTTTACAAGAAAAACTGCAGGTTCCCCTGATTTTTCAACAATAGCTTTGTGAGGCAGATGCTATTACTAGTCCCAGGTTACAAGAGAGGAAACTAGGGCTCAGAGAAGTGACATGACTAGCCTAAAGTCACACGGCTAGGAAGAGCTAGAACCCAAACTGGAATCTTGACAGAATCAATCCCTATCATGGAAGGCAGAACACTCTTCATCTCCAACAATTAAAGAAGAGATGGTGAGTGTCATTAGAAACCTGGGAAACATCTAGACACCCTGAATGGCTCTACAGAAGTCAGGGTTGGATTTGATCCTTTTATCTATTCATTTAATATGTGGTTATTGGGCATGAGTGTGTGTCAGCACACAGGTGCAGAGTAGTGAGTCTGCACACACACACACACACACACACACACACACACACCCCCACACACACACCCTCTCTGCCCTTAGCAAGTGTGAATTCTGGAGGGGAAACTAGGTAAGTGACAACACTGATTACCCTACCAGAGCTTTCTCATATACTCCCATTTAACTTTTAAAAAGAGGTTGAGGGACTTCCCTGGTGGTCTAATGGTTAAAACTTCACTTCCAATGGTGTGGGTTCAATGCCTGGTCTGGGAGCTAAGATCCCACATGCCTCATGTCCAAAAATCCAGAACATAAACAATATCACAACAAAACCAGTAAAGACTTTAATAGTGGTCCACATCAAAAATAAATCTTAAAAAAAAAATTTAAAAAACAAACAACAAAAAAAACCAAAGGCCTAAACTGGCCTCTTTCCAGACAAATCCATAATATTTGGGAGCTTGCAGAATAATTTTTTTTTCAGAATTTTTTTTAACAAAAAGTGTTGAAAACAGTAAACATCACAAAATTTCACACTTAAAAAATCACTCACTTTTTAAGTTTCTCTCAAAAAATTTTTTTTCGGTGGCTGTGCTAATATACAATCCAGGTTCTTCCATGGCAAGAACTGGTTGAACGCAGTAGCAATCCTTTAAATGAGAATTATACTCTAGAGCTTAGCAGAAGCCCCATCTGGGTCACAAGAATCTTTATGTCACCTTCCTGGTACCTAAAGGCATTTTAATTTACAATTTCTATTTACATGTCGCTTCTTCCCTAAGTTTTCTTGTGGACTTTATTCCACTTAGGTTTTAAATATACCTGTTTAATGAATTTCCTATTTATTCTTAATCTGTTGAATTCTAGGTATTTCTTTATATATATCTATAGCTCTGCTTTTTAAATACCTCCGAATTCTAGGTATTTTTTTTTCATAGCTCTGGTATTTTTTTCTTTAAATACCTCTGTTTATGCTGCTACACCATATATGATGCCCAAGGCAGACATCACTAATCAATCAGGACCCTCCTGCCCAATGAGCCCGAAGAGGCTCCAGTGGTCACTGCTTTCCCCACACAGCTCCAGGCAGCCACTACTGATCAATCAGGAATGGTATATACAATGAAACCCATTTATTTTTACTATCTTTGTATCTACTCAGATGTCCTAACGGCTGAGATGTACATGTGATTCTTCCTTACTTACCCCTGCCCCTCAAGGCGGGTCTGAGGCTGAGACTTTCCTAGTGCAGCAGGGGAGTTACTGTTCCGGAGGAGCCAAGTCTGAGCCCATCCGTCTGCCCACAGGCCTCCCCTTACCGGGCTTTGGAAAAGGGGCCAAGGCTCCTGAAGGGAGGAGAAGAGAAAGAAGAAAACAGCTCCAGTGAAGTGTCCCTCTCTCCTTTTCTTCTCTCTCCTCTTGCAAAAAGAAAAGAACAATATCAGCCAGCCCAAAGCTCATTAATGCACTTGACCTTCTGAAAGAAAATTAATTCCAACTTCACACCTACCGGCTGTGCTGCTCAGCTTTGTCAAAACGCTGGCATCATTAGAGAGGAGATGACATGGCTGGAGGGCACCGAGAGTCTGCCACCTCCCCACGCTGGGCTGAGTGAGTAGGAGCTGGCAGGAGGCACGCGGAGGCGCCGGCCCTGTCAGCTTTTCACTGTGGATTAAGCTCTCTGCTGCTGGCTCTGGAAATTGTTATCACTGTCGAGCTGCCCCAGTGATTCTTACCAGGCTCCCTGACAGCACAGGCCCACAGAGCAGCAGCCTTGAGGGCCTTCTGTTGGAGGGAAGGCAGATTGTGTGTGTGTGTGGGGGGGGTGATTGTAGGAGAATGTGTGTCTGCATGTATCAGTGTCAGTGTGTATGAACATGGGTATGTGTGTGTGCACTTGAGAATATGGGCATCTGTGTGTGTGTGTGTGTGTGAATGTGCATGCATGTGTATGTATGTGTACAACTACACTCAAGTGGGGACCTAAAAGGGCGTGCTTGGGTATCTGTGCCTGTGTGTGTACATTTGTTGTTTAGTTGCTAAGTCGTGTCCAACTCTTTTGTGATTCCACAGACTGTAGCCTGCCAGGCTTCTCTGTCCATGGAATTTCTCAGGCACAAATACTGGAGTGGGTTACCATTACCTTCTCCTGGGGATCTTCCCGACCCGGGGATCAAACCCACATCTCTTCCATCTCCTGCAGTGGCAAGCGGATTCTTTACCAGTGAGCCACCTGGGAAACTTGCATGTACATTTAGGTGGATACAAATGTCATCCTATGCATTGTGAGTACATGTGCCTTGCCAAATGCATACATACATATGCATAAGGGGACACATGTGCAAACATGTTCAGAATTTGTGTGCTCATGTATATGTATGTGAACAAAGCATAGAGAATGGGTGCAAGTTTAAGGGTGCAACTGTGAACATGTGTGGACACATCCACATTCACGTGTACAGGAGACTGTCTTCAGTGCTACAAGATCACCTACAAGTGCCAAGGCAGGTCTGAGTATGAGCAAATCACAGACACCAAATCCCTCTCTCCTTTTTCAACAACGCTATTTGATATTGAAAAAAGTTAAGGGAATTATGGTGACAAATCCCAGAACTACTTAGATTTTCAGACTCACTTTGATTTTAAATGATTATTTTGAAGTTTATGAGAGCTGGACAGAACATGATCCTTACATTGTTTGGAGCCTAATCTGGCCCCACTGAACACATGGGCTGTGAAACATTGTACATTAAAGTGTGTGCATATGTGTCTCTGTGTGTGTGCATGCAAATCCTTATCTGTGTGAGTATTCATATAAGAAGTAACTGTTGCCTGTGTAGGTAGTTCTCCATGCATGTTCTTGTTCAAGCTTCAGTTGAATTTACATATGAATTGGAAATATATGCAGTGTTTCATCTGCATCAGGTACCATTTCAGGTGCAGGAGAGAGAGAGAGAGAGAGAGAGAGACGTAAAACCCTATTTGTGTCCTTGAGAAGTTTCCTCTTATTTTCCAATTGTAAATATTTACCAGTAGATCCTCAAGGCTCTAGGTGGAGTTGGATTCTGAGGACATGTCCAGGCTCTTCAAGAAGCCATTATTGATTAGTGATGTCTGCCACAGATGTGGGATGTGAGATTTGTAGCAAGTATGTCATTTATTTGCCAGAGAATCAGAATATCACACCTAATACGGCTCTTTGTAATCCTGGGTTTAATGTCTTCATTTTATACCTGGGTAAGCCATGGCAGAAAAGGAGAGGGAGTTTAAGCAGCACTGAGTTTACAGTGAAGGAAGCGAGGAGCCGAGGTTGCAGAATTTAAGGAGCACTCACTCATTTGCACTCTGTGCAAATGATCCCCTCACCTGCCTGACCCTGAGAGTGAGTGCCTTTGTAAACTGTGTGCCCTAGATGTCTCATTTGTTTCACTTTAATCCCAGCCCTGCTCAAAGTCACATTAAAAGAATCACCACATGCTCTATTTGGAGACAAAGTTCAGTGACTCTATTTACAAGCACTTGTCTGACTGAAAGTTACAGAACTCAACTGAAGCTTAAGAAAAATGGAAATGGGGTGTCTCAAAAAACCCAAGGGCAGAGGTTTAAGTAGGGTGAAGAAAGGTCTAGAACTGGGACCCTGGACAGAATTTGATCTGTTTCTCACACTAGCTTCCATTATTCTTTCTGGGCTGAGTGGCTTTCCCTGCTCCACCAGTTACCAATTCTGTGATCTGGGAAATTTTCTTGCTTTCTTCATCTATATAATGAGACTATGATTCATCACTTCCTTACCTCCTTACCTGATAGGATTGTAAGGTGTAATATAGGTAAATCATCCAAGTGGCTGACAGAGTAAGTGGTATCAGTCATCATCACCAACCTCATCACCACCACCATCACCACTGTCTTTTGTCTCTTCCTCCTCACCATCACCATCATCGTCATTGTTATTGTCATCACCATCATCATTACTAACACAATCATCAACATCACCATCACTGCTCCATGGAAAAACACTCTGATTTGCCCACACTGGGCTAATTCTGACCCAGTTAATTATGGCCACATTATATATGGAACTTCTGGAGCCAGTCCCTGTTGAGTGTTGGCAGCTGGTGGTTAAAGGGAATGAACAAGGCAAATGCTCAAAGTTCTGAGGTATTCTCTGGTTTGGTTTTGTTAGAACAGCACTGAGGACAGTAGGGGGTTCCCTGCTGTTCCATTTGGATCTGTTGTTCAACTCTTCCCCTTACCTGCTGAAGAGCCCAACAACGGTTCAATATGCTCTACAATCATTCTTGCCCAGCTGCAGGTTTTGAGGTTTAAGTCTACTAATTAGTCCATAATTGATTCTAATCTAGGGGATGCCACTAAGTCCACTGGATCCAGGGTAGGTAGGATTTTGTGATGCAAGGGTGGCAGGGGTGAAGGGACAGAAGAACCAGGGAAGGTCTGAAGCTCTGGGTATTGCTGAATCTTGATGGAAGTGGGGGAGAGGAGAAATTCCAAGTAGAATGAGGACACAGAAAAGGAAGATGGCAACAGAATGTGGAAGGGAGTCTTGAGTACAGTGGCTTTGTCTGATAGAAAAGAAGAAGAAAAAGAAGGAAGAGGAGGGGAAGGGGGGAAGAGGAAGGGAAGGAAAAAGAAGAAGAGGAAGAGGACGAAGGAGAGGAGTGAACAAAAGCATCAGTAGCCGAAGCTGATGAGAAAAAATTATAAAGCTGCTGCTGCTGCTGTTGATACATCAATGAAACTGATAATGATGAACATGAAGATAAGATGTTTCTGAGCGACACTCAGCCTCGGGGAAGCCAAGTTCTAATTAACACAGACTTCTGGAAACGGCCTCTTTCCCCCTCATTATGCTCGGATCTGTAATGCACACCTGCCCTCTGAGCCATCCCCCAGGTCCCCCTCTCCCAAGAAGAAAAGAAAGAACCCTGAGGGCTCCCCTCGACAATTTCAGAGTTCTGGTTCAAAGGAGGGTGCTTGGGCTTAGAGAGCTCTGCCCTGTGGTGGAAAGGGGGCTTTGAGGGCAGCTGGTAAATCATTTACCCAAGTGGCTGGACAGAGGAAATTGCTGATCCCATATCAACAACCCCTGGAGGTGGAGACGGGGCCCCCATAACACAGGCTTGTCCAGGGGTGGAAAACAGGGTAGTGGCCTTGCTTCCGATGCTGATATGAATAAATCTCATTTCTTTTCTCCAAGAAAGCCATGGAGATGGTAACTAAACTAACTTCCATGTATTGAGGGATCATCATTTACTGGGTGCTGTCTTCTGCTTTTACATATCTTTCGATCTTCACATGAGAACTATGAGAATGTTTTTTTATTCAATTGAAGCTTATGAAATTGCTGACATTCAAACATTGCTTAAGTATAAAACTGGCAATTTCATATGATTCAATCTATTATTATTGTTGCTACTGGAATCTCAGAGGGGTGAAATAACTTACCCAACATTACGCAGCTCCAGTGTTAGGCTAAGCTCCTTACCCTGATCAGGAAATTCACATGTCTGGATACTATTACCTCCCCAGCCTCCGTTCTTAGTTGCTTCCCTCTCCCCCCTTCTCCGAGCCTCTGTTTCCTCACTTGTAACTGAGGCTGTGACAAAGAAACTGCCCTTTGCTAAGCATTTAGTAGGTTCCAGCACTGTGCTGAGTACACTACCCTTGTCACCTGATTTTCTGCTCCCAGCCCCACTGTGGTACAGGAACTGCTCAGAGCCGATGCATGCACAGGCCTGAGTTCTGAGTCTGCTCATAGTAGAAGCCCAGCTAATGTCCATATTCTTATGACCCCTCTTTCAGGAGTCACAGCATCAGAGCAGGAGGGAAGAGTACATCCTGCGACCAGGAATTAAGCCACCTTCCTCCTGGAAGCCACATCCTCTTGGTCAAGTGAACACGTGCCAGGCACACAGAGGTCCCTCCTGTGGTTTCATTCCTGGGAAGTGAGAGGTGGGAGAGGAAGGCAAGTCTTCCACATATCTTATCGTGAAACACAGACACATTTCCCTTGCAGACGTGAATGACCCCTCACGGTGGATGAGTTTGACGAGATGTTATGCCAGATCCCCTTCCTACAGCACCTGTCTGGGAATGAAAGGAGGGATCGGAAGGAAGCAGACACTTGTCTTGCACTTTTGGGTTATTCGGAGCACTTTGTTCTATTGTTGGTTCTTTGGTCAAGCCATTCATTTGCTAACCATACAAATGAATGGTGTATCACTGTTCTAGGCGCATTCAGGAGCTTCTGATCTCGCCACTTGCAGATTTGTGTGTGTTGTTTGACTCTCTAAAGGCTGTAGCTTGAGACGGTCCCCTGGGAGCCACTCTGCCAGCAGCTGGTCTAGCTCCCTGTATGCTGTAGGTGCTTCGACGCTGATGGGTGAATTAGACCGTGTTACACTAAGGAAGGAATGGAATAATAACACCTAACAATGTAGGAGACACGGGTTTGATCCCTGGGTCAGGAAGATCGCTGGAGAAGGAAATGGCAACCCACTCTAGTATTCTTGCCTGAAAAATCCCATGGGCAGAGGAGCCTGCTGAGTTACATTACATGGGGTGGCAAAGAGTTGGAGACGACTGAGCGACTGTGCACACACGAAAGGAAGGAATGACTACCCGCTCTAGTATTCTTGCCTGGGAAATCCCATGGTGGGCTACGGTCCAGGGGGTCACAAAGACTCAGACACGACTGAGTGACTCACACGCGCACTAAGGAGAACGGTACTGACCTCTGTGTGTTCTCATCCAGGCACACTGTAGGCACATCGAAACATCCAGATGAATATCTGTCAGATGGAAGTGAATTGGAGCATAGACATTCCCACTTCTTCCCCAGTCTGGCTGGGGTTTGGGGAGAGGCGGGGTAGGGCCTGTTTTTATTTGCTGTCGCTTTGGTTTGATTTTCACCATATCGACTTCCCTGGAAGGGAAGGGGCCCCTCAGGTGAATGGCGAGGAACCCCAGATCAGGCCTGGCTTATATTCTCATAACTTTCTCATATTACCAGCTCTGGATACCACCGCACAGGCCACCTCATTGTGTAAAAAAGTCCCCCCAGATTCCTGCTGGACCGTGCGACCATCCTAACTTCCCCCAAAACAAATCCCCCAAGCATAACCGCCAGGCATTCCCTAAAGTGAGTGACCCTCAGGCACACAAGAGGTGCACCAGAAGCAAAAAATAATAGACTGCCTTCATTCTGCCTGAGGCCCGCGATGCAACGCCATAAAGCATATGATTTAGGATATTAAATGCCGCTGGTGATGAGAACGTCGTGTAAGATTTGCTTTGCGACGTCTTTCTTCTCAAAGTGTCATTAAAAATGATTTATAGGGGAGCCTGAATCTAAGAAACAACACGATTAGAACTGAGGGTTGGGGAGATCGGGTTTCCCAGGCAGTCTTGCCATGCTGTCCCAGGGAAGAAAAGCCTGCGAGCGGGACTGCAACCAAGTGTTTCAAAGTCGAGTGCGCGCGTGCAGAAGGAACACGGGCTCCCTGCTGAGGGGAAAACAATGAAGCCTTGTGGGACACTGTAAAGTGCTTGTTTCAAAAGGTGAGTTCCAGAGGGCCAACCTGGAGGAGGCTTCTTCGCAGAAGGCTGGGGAAGTGAGGTTTCACCCAGGACCACACTGGCCACTCTTCAACCTGGACTTGATATGCTACTGTCACCTTTTTACATAATAAGAACGTAAAGGCCTCATGTGTCGTTTATCTTTATTACGTGCCTGGCACTTGGCACAGCAACCCTAGGAAATCAAACGTTATTGTTATCATTCCTATTTCACAGATGAGAAAACTGAGACCCAGAGAGGTGAAGTATCCCTCACAGTTGCATAGAGGATTCTAACACAGGCAGCCACACTCCAGAACCCAGACGCTTAACTTTTCCTATCCACAGAGTTGTAACTTCTAATTTAAAGCTACGCCAAATATCCCTTTTGCTTCACTTTGTCCATATCTCTGTCTCCCCAAAAGCTGCCATTAAGTAAGCACCAACTATGGGCTGTTCCCCTGGGGGCTTGCTCTATGTTTTGCATGATCTTCATTACCATTCTGCCAAACTGGAGGCGCGCTTGACCCTATTCAACTGAAACTTGAGGAGTAAAGTCCCACATTGAATAAGCAGCTAAGCAGGGAATAAAATCAAGTTAGCCTGATTCCAAAGGAAACCGGTTTGCCTGGAGGCTGTGTTATGCAAAACGTCACAAGGTGTCATTTTGGGGCCTGAGAGTTAGTATGCTTCTTATAGATCAGAGTCTTCTGATCTGTAAGAAATCTCTAAGAAATCATGGCAGGGTTTAGAAGAGTGGGTTCGGGGCTGGGAGACCCTCTGCAGCCTGTCTACTTTGAGCTCTGCGTTGCCTCTGCCTGGTGGACCAGAAAGGTTGGGCTTCTCTGGTTGGGCTAGTTCTTTGAGGACAACCTCCACTATCTCACAATTATGGTTTTATTGCTGTTGTTACTATGGTATGTTAGAGCAATTTTCCCTTATGGAAGTCTCCATAAATGTTTGCTGGATGAGCCAAATGAAGAGAGATTATGAAAAAAGGAAACATTTGAAGCAAGGAAAGAGAAAAAGAGGAGAAAAGCAATTCATCCAAAATTGCAAATCAGAGAAACGGCCACAGACTTATTTTGTGTTATCCGTTTGCATCAGTCACGTTAAGTGCATCATTACAGTAACATAAGTTACTGCAGCAACAAATAGCCCCCACATTTTAGGAGCATAAATAACATTTACTTTTTGCTCTTCTAACATGTTCACTGTGTTTCTGCCGGTGGTGGGGTCAGTGGTGGTTCCTTTGCTGGTTTATTACAGTATCTCAAGAATTGAGGCAGAGTTCTTATCACTTCAAGTGCTCCCATTGTAACTGAGGCAATGAGAAGATTCTGGAGGGGATGCTGCATTGGTTTTTATAGTTTCCACCTGGCAGTGATGGGACATTTCACTGGCCACAATGAGTCACAAGACCGTGCCCAACTTCAAGGTCACATCCATCTTGTTCCTGGGCAGGGTCACCTCCAGAAATATTTGGCAAATGGCACCAGTGAGAACCACAGAGTTGACGCAGTTCTTGGTGGTGGTGGTGGAGTTGCTAAGCCGTGTCCAACTCATGCAACCCCCTGGACTGTATGTAGCCTGCCAGGCTCCTCTGTTAGTGAATTCTCCAGGCAAGAATACTGGAGTGGGTTCTCATTTCCTTCTCTAGGGGTGATCTTCCCAACCCAGGGATCAAACTCAGGTCTCCTGCACTGCAAGCAGTTTCTTTACCAATGGAGCTACAAGGGAAGTAGTGAAGGGCAAACACTTTGTAACCAGATTATTTCTATGAGTTCAGAGATCTAAGAACTGGGGAATCTGGCAGCACTGACCCAAGCCGTGGTGGCCCTTCAAAGAGGCATACATGCTCCATGTTGCTGCTGGCCCCACCTGGCCCACTTCACTCATTTTGGTTAGGTGCCTGGCTCCTGGGAGCATTTGGCGTGCAGACGTCTGGTTTGGAAGGATGAAAAGCGCCGCTCTGAACTCACTCTGGCATTTCATTCCCATCACCAGATGCCCTTATGATCTACTCCCATCCCAGAGATAAATAACGCTAATACCCTGGAGGTGCCTTGCACAGTCCAGGGATAAGACAGGCGGGCTGCAGTGCTCAGGCTTGTTGGCAACAGTGGGATTGCCTAAGCCTGTGAAGGGCGTGTCCAGGGGATTCATGAAGTTGGCGGAGGGAGTGTGAGTCTATAGGAGGAACTGCAGAGCCCACGCCTCTGGTGAGCGGATGTCCAGCTAGTGGAAGCTAAGGCAGGCAGCTGCTTCTCCTGGGAACCTCCTGTTTCCTTTGAGCTGCTGCTGCCCATACAACTCCTCTGGGTTCCCCGCAACCCCATATGAAAGAGGTGTGAGAACCTTTCTGTGCAGTCAGCAGCTTGGGGTTGAGCCAAGTGTTGTGATCTCACCCAGTAGGGGTAGAGGGACTACGGTGGGAAGATGTAAGGTTGTACTCAGCAAGAGAGTACATCAGTCAGCATTGTTGTGGTTGCTGCTGCTCAGTCGTGTCTGACTCTTTGTGACTCCATGCACCGCAGTCTGCAGGCTTCCCTGTCCTTCACCATCTCCCAGAGCTTGCAAAATCTCATGTCCATCAAGTTGGTGATGCCATCCAACCATTTTGTCCTCTGTCATCCCCTTCTCCTCCTGCTTTCAGTCTTTCCCAGCATCAGGGTCTTTTCCTATGAATCAGCTCTTCACATGAGGTGGCCAAAGTATTGGAGCTACACCTTCATCATCAGTCCTTCCAATGAATATTCACAATTGATTTCCTTTAGGATTGACTGGTTTGATCTCCCTGCAGTGCAAAGGACTCTCAAGAGTCTTCTCCAGCACTACAGTTCAAAAGCATCAATTCTTTGGCGCTCAGCCTTCTTTATGGTCCAACTCTCACATCCAAACATGACTACTGGAAAACCATAGCTTTGACGGAACTTTGTTGGCAAAGTAATATCTCTGCTTTTTAATATGATGTCTAGGTTGGTCACTACTTTTCTTCCAAGGAGCAAGTGTCTTTTAATTTCATGGCTGCAGTCACCATCTGCAGTGATTTGTAGGTTAGATTATGTTGCAGTAACAAACAACCTCAGAATCTCAGTGACTGAAAACAACTAGAGATTATTCTCACACACTACTTTCACTCACTTGACATACGGATCTTGGATCAGCAGGACCCAAGCCACCTTGGCTCCACTTATGGTAGCCACTTATGGTAGGATAATGAATTACCCATCATCTTCAAAATTGTCAATCTCCCTCCTAAAGTCAGAGAGCTCTGGAGGGTGCCAAACAGTTAATCAAATCTCCTGTCCAGAAGTGACACATCTCTTCCCCCCTTCTTATGCCCCACTCAGGTACTGTGGGGCCAGGAAATGCAGAGATTCAGATATATTTGGTGAACAAATTTGTGAATGACCACCACATTTGGAGGAGAGGCTATTGCTTTAATAACCACTACTACTAAAAAGACAGTATTAGACAAGGTTTTAAGTGTCATCAACAATTCAATGTATCCATCATCAAGGCCACCAGGCCTCTGTACTTGGGGGGTCCAACTGTGAAGAACACCATTCCCTCTCCTCTTTGATATGCTTCTTCTCATCATGCAGGCTAACTGCCATCACCTTGTAGAAGGCCTTCCTGATCACTCTGTCTCAACTGATTTCTCTTTGCAACCACCTCCCACCCCACCCCCATCCCATGCATCACATTTGAAAATTTTTCTTTCTAATCCTCATCACTCTCTGGGCTATCTTTCAAAAAATTCATGTGTTTATATATATATATATATATAGTCTTTGTTCATTCTATCTCACGAGAATGCAAACACCATCAAGGCAGAAATGGGTGGTCTTCATGGCTATATTCCCATCATCTTGGGTAATGGCTAGAACATGGGAGGTGCTCAAAAAAGTCCTGTGGAATAAATTAGAAAAAAATACCTGCCCCCTAAATACGCATGAATGAATGTAGGAACGACTGTGACTAACAGAACTCACACTTTTCTACTCCCCTCATTCACCTAGCCAGGCAAGCATTAGGATCAGTCCCATTCTGCAGAGCACTGAAACTCAAAGAAGCAAAATGGTTTACATGAAACCTGAACTAGAAAATGGCAAAGTCTGTATTTAAACCAGGGCTTGCTGAAGCTTCTGCCATTTCTGTTGGGCTGCCCTGGCCCTCAAAAGGCAGCTATTTATGAAGCCCCCAGAGTTTTAGGCCTGGGGTCAACTGC